CTTGTCTAATATTTTAAATTTAACTGAAATATATGTATTCTTCACTTTACATCTTAAAGTTAACTTTAACTAATAAAGTTAACATTATTTCAAACAGCCAGGAGAACCCAGGACTGAATACACCCAAACTTTCTTTTTTAATGAAAAGTTCTAGACTCATTTTATCATTTCCTTAGGTCTTACTTCCTAAGACTCCTTCCCTCAAAAGATACTAAGTTTTCATTTAAGTTTAATTAATCTTTAAAACCTAGGGCATGGATTTACTACTTCAGTGTTTTATTTTTTTTTAAGATTTTATTTATTTATTCATGAGAGACAGAGAGACAGAGAGAGAGACAGAGAGAGAGACGCCGAGACACAAGCAGAGGCAGAGGGAGAAGCAGGCTCCATGCAGGGAGCCCGATGCAGAACTCTATCTGGGGACTCCAGGATCATGCCCTGAGCAGAAGACAGGTGCTAAACCACTGAGCCACCCAAGTGTCCCTAAACATAGCATTTTTAAGTTGTTTTATTAAATATTTATTTATAAAGCATAAAACATTCCACTAACTACACCATTAAAATACTAACTCTACTGATACCTTAATTTCTCCCTAATTTAGCAATCTCTAATAGTTCAAAATTAATCATATTGATTTTATTTCCTAGTTGTAAACTGTATAAATAATGATCTTTCAAGTTTTTTCAAATACAAGTAAACAAAAAGTATACTTTCCACTTTCAGGGTAACAATGATTTACCAGGATTCATGAGATTGAATTGCAGCTCTGATTTACATACTGTATCATTTAATCTTTACAATAATTCTATAAAATAGGCATTAACAGCTTCATTTTATAGAATAATTAAGGCTTAAAGGGGTAGGAAATTTGTTCAAGGTCCTATAGGTTAAAAGACTGAATCCCATATCTGACAGGTTATAAAAATCTAGATCTAATCTACAGTTTGTAAAGAAAAGTCTATGTTTTGAAGACCGTTCAGTTTTTAAATAATGCAATTTAACAAATTGATAGTTTTTGAAAACTAAGTATATAGACTAGTTTTATTCAATAACTGCAACTATTTATCTCTCATTATTACCTCACACTAAAAATGTTGCTCTATATAATGCAAGTCAGGTACACACAAGTAAAATAAAAAATCACGTAAAAGTCCGAAAATGAATAATGGAAAATAAAACTCTGACAATGTAATAAGTGTACCCTATACATACAGAATAGCTCATTCAGTAAAAATGAGACGGGAAATATGTATAATAATTACAATCAAAATTGTTTTCTATCAAAAATTTTTAAGAATTCCAAAAGTAGATTCATTCTCTAAAAAAAATTAAAGCTACCATGTTTTAAGTCACATATAAATTCCAAACCCTATTTTTAATTTTGTTTTTCCCAAAAAGAGAAATGGATGTGAACATTTATTGGGTACTTTTAAAAGATCCTGAGCTAATTGCTTTTCATTATTTTTATCTCATGGAACTAGTTCTACTTCTCTGTGATGGGTACTACTCCAATTATTACTACATAAGAAGCAACTCAGGATCTAAATGTCACATTGTTCTAAGAGTTGTAGTAAGAATTCCTGCCCACATCTGACTCCATACTCTGTACCACATCATGCAATTAGCAACCATAAAACACCACCACACACACACACACACACACACACACACACACACACACACACACACACAATGTCTTTAGGAATGTATTTAAGTCCAGGCAATTATCTTTCAAACGAGATTTGTGCCTTGCAACTTGTCTGTGGCCAACATATATAACAGGTGCCAAATAAAAGTTTACTGAATGGGATGCACACTGGTAGCTTAGCAACAGAAGAAGAAATGGGACCATCTTCATTCATTCTGCCTTTCAAAGGGAGTTAATATACAACTATTACAGGATCCCTGGGTGGCGCAGCGGTTTGGCGCCTGCCTTTGGCCCAGGGCGCGATCCTGGAGACCCGGGATCGAATCCCATGTCGGGCTCCCGGTGCATGGAGCCTGTTTCTCCCTCTGCCTGTGTCTCTGCCTCTCTCTCTCTCTGTGTGTGTGACTATCATAAATAAATAAAAATAATAATTTAAAAAAAAGAATATACAACTATTACTTACCAGGCAACATATACAACTTTCTCCTTACAGAATAAAACAATTATAGAATAGAAGGGAATGATCACATATAAAAATTACTAATTCTTAAAGGGCAAGCTGTTGATTAAATATTCGAAGCTTTCTTTTTTTTTAAGATTTTATTTATTCATGAGAGACAGAGAGAGAGAAAGAGGCAGAGGCAGAAGCAGGCTCCATGCAGGAAGCCTGACGTGGGACTTGATCCTAAGACCCCAGTATCACGATCTGAGCCAAATGCAGATGCCCAACCTCTGAGCCACGCAGGTGCCCCAAATATTCGAAGCCTTAAAGAGAGATCCAGCATGTTCTGCTCAACTCTTGTCTGCCTCGTAAGAGTTCTATCTCCACAGTTGGCTAGTTGCTAGCAGAGAGACCATGGTCATTTTTGTGCTTCCTAGAACACCAAACACAGGACCTAACACTTAATACTAATAGCTAAACTTTTATAAAGATCTTCCACAAATTACAAAACTTTTTCAGATGAATTAACCCTAAAAGCCTTGCAAGGTAAGCGTAGTATCTATCTACATTTTATAGACAATGACTTCAAAGTCCAAGAAGAGATTAAGTGCCAAGATAAGTGGCCAGGTATCCTATAACACCACAGCCACCAGAAAAGGCTCTTGATATATGTTAATTGAATCAGCTATCCCTTGAAATATCATTTTTCTTTCTAAGATTGTAACACCATTATCTGTTGCTATGATAAATGATCGTACTGCCACTTAAGACTGATAGCTTTGCTAGAAAACAGATACTGTCATTTAGGCTTGACCAGGTTAGTTAACTTTTAACTTCGTATATCAGTGATTCTCAAACTTTAAGAGGACTACGAATTGGGGAGCTTGATAAAAATAAAGATCCTTTGGCCACCATGATCTCTAGAAATCCTGATTCAAGGGACCAGGAATCTGCATATCTTAATAAGCACTCAGCTGATTCTAATGGTTTAGTCTTTAGAGACCCTTTGAGAATTGAACTAGACTTCTGAAACTTAATCTACTCCCCCCAATTATTTTAATCAAGCCAATTTTTTTTTTACAGTTTTAAGTATTTAAGCAAAATCTTACAAAAACAATCCAAGCCTACCACATCTAACAGGAAAGGTCCTCAAAAATGTTTACTACACCAAACTTCTCTAGACCTCAGGAGCCTGCAGACCTCAGGCCCCTGCATGGACCCTGCTTCTCTCTCTGCCTGTGTCTCTGCCTCTCTCTTCACATAGTTGATGAGTTCAACTATGACTGCAACATAATTTAGTAAAACATTTTTGTAAGTCCTACAAAAACGACTGGATGTTAAATAGTAAAAGGGAACCAGTTAACTCTGAACCTGACAGAAATAATAATTAAACATAATTTGAATAATTAATAAAGTAATCATAAGCCAATAACTTTTAAATCACCAACAGTACAAGCCCATTTAAAACTTTAAGTGACCATCAAAATGTACTAACTATAAGATTATGGGGTGACTTTTTCCGCACTATTAAATATTTATTGAGAGTTGACACAGGTTTCTGTATTCTTCGAATTTTCTACAATAAGCAGATTTTATTCACAATTATCAAAGTTCTAGAAGTACTTATTAATCCTGTAACCTTCACATACGTAATAGGAAAACAAGAATAACCTGTAACCACATTTATCATAAACCATAAACACCAAAACACCTGGCTTTAAGGTATCAATCTGTAATCATTATTTTTCACATTAATACCAGATCACTTAACCTCTAAAATTTAGACTGTCCCATTTCGACCAGGTATGTCATTAGTGTAGTTAGCCTGACTTTTTAAAATCCCCTTGTCATCCACTCTGGGGATCTATTTAATAGGTGGAACTTCTTTGTATTGAGAACTGAGGCATTAAAATATTCACACTCTTATTAGGGAGAAGGGGGAACAGACCATTGTTTAAAAAAAAAAAGGATATTTTTATCATTATGAGTATTTATGTAGGAAACTTGGCGCCAAGCTAGGAGGGGCTTTCTCCAACAGCCCCATCTCGGAGGTAAATGTCACAGGAAGCGGCAGGGGCGAGCTCGCGGCAGGTGAGGAAATCTCAGCTCGAATACGACGCAAGCTGCTGTTCCCGCCCGGTGCGCGGTGGGCGACCCTGGCAGCGGCCGCGAGGGCCGCGGGCTTCCGCGCCCCCTTCTTGGCAGCCCCCCGCCCCCACCGCGGGGCCGAGCGGCGGCCTCCGGGGTGCGCGGGCCCGGGCCGCCCGCGGGGGTCGGGGCGCGCCCGCCGCGGCCGCCGGGACCCAGGCCAGGCCGAGGGCTTCCCGGCGGCGCGGGGCCTAGTCGCCCCGGCCTCGCGCCTCGCGGGGACGCGGAGGGAAGGCTCGAGGCCCGAGCCGCGGGCTGGCGGAGGCGGCCGCCGAGCCCCTCATGCGGCGGGAGGCCGGGGGTCCCCCGCGCCGTGCCACACTCACCTCGAGCCGCGGCCGCCGCCTCGGCATGGCCGGGGGGCCGCGCCTGGGCCGACAGCCTCCTCCGGAGGGCGCCGCCGCGACGCCTGCCGCTCCTGAAGGGCTTGCGGCCGCCGCTGCTGCTGAGGCCCAGCGCCCGCCGAGCCGCATGGGGCTCACGGGCCGCCGCAGCACGCGGGTCCCGGAGGGGCGCCGCTGAGCCGGGCCGGGCGCGGGGCTGCGGGCGGGGGGGGGGGGCGGCGGCGGAGCCTCCAGCGTCGCCGTGGCCGCTCCCGCCGCCGGCGCCGCTGGCCCACAGCGCCCCCTGGGCCCCACGGCCCGCTACGGCGCGGGGACTGCGGCGGCCGCCCGGCGCGAGCGGCGGGGAGGGCGGGGGCTCCGGGCGCGGCGCTGCCCTCGGAAGCCCGGCCCCCGCCCCGGGCCGCGAGCGCCCGGACCTCCCCTTCTCCCCCGAAGGTGCGCGGGCGGCCGTCACCGCGCGTTCTCGTCAGAGCGGGCCTGAGGGGCGCTGCGGGCTTCCGTCGCTCGGGGGGCGACGGCCCCCTGAGCCCTTCCGTGGGTGTGCGTGTAGGATGCGGACCCAGCGCCAACCTTGCGTCCACGCGCCCGCGCAAAACCCGCGCCCAAAGCACCTGAATGGTCTTTGACCTTAACTTCTGGATCTGCTGTGCAGAGCGGTACAGAAATTTCCGACGGGTACCAGGTCCTTAATCCCAAACCGACCCCAAATTAGAAAAAAAACCATAACATGCCGAGCAAGAGAATAGCCAACGGGTTGTTCTGAAATTCATAAGCAACTTAAAGGTAAGAACCACCCCACCCCCGTCGTCTACGTTACCCCCATCCCACCCCACCCCCACTCTTCCGCCCCGACCGCAGTCAGACCCCGGATCGGGCCCTGAGGGAAGGAAGTGGGCGCGTCGCGCGGCCTGCGGAACCCTTCTGTTTGCGGGGATCCCGTGCGGCCCCCCTCGGCCTCGGGATGCACACGCCAGAACCGAAAGCAGGAGAAACCAAAAGACCGTCGGAAGGGAAGGAAATCCTCCAGATCGCCTGGGCCCAAACTCCCCAGTAATAGGACACTTTTGTCCTGGAGCGCTGTGGCGGATGGGCAAGCAGGGACCTGGCGGCGCAGGTTAGCCCCTGACCCTGGGCAGGTTACCTCCTATTTCTGAACCTGGGGTTTCTCGTGCCTGCCGTGCTGGTTGTTGTGAAAATGGGAGGTAATTTATGTGAAGAACTAGCCCAGAGAAGTAGCTTCTCAATGTTAGTTCCAATTATTGTTGGTTCCAAAACACCCTCTCAGTCTTTCTTAAATTCAAGATTGTTCCCATCTGTTTTTGTTCTTTCTCTCTCAATCTCTGTGTAAATATATCCCTTTCAAAACATGAGTGCATCAGAAAAGGGAGGAAAAAAAAAAAGATGGTGCATTGTTCTTTATTGTCCCTGGTCTGGGTAAAATTTTCCTAAATTTCATTAATGGATTTATGTAATTTCCCTCCACTGAGGAAAAATGGAGCCTAATACACTAGATGCTATAACATTCTATTGCAAAGCAGATTTTAGCGTAAAGCTAGTATATTTTTCTGTATATAAAAGTTATAAGGCAATCTCACCTTAGGTTATGTCCTAATAATAATCTTAATGAGAAAATTATATAAGGTCTCTGGGAACGTTCAAATAATAATTGAGCAGCCACCTTAGAGAAAATATAACCTTACAGCTCTCCTCCAATCAATAAGCTGTTCCTGTTCCTGTACAATCCTGAGTGTGCCTTCACTACCTACTTCTGAGTCACATTACAAAAAAAAAAAAAAAAATCACTATCCCCTTTTTATAACAAGAGAAACTGGGGCTCAGAGAAAAACTGTGATTCATCCTCATAACAACTCTATGAATTAAGTACTCTACTACCACCATTTTACATGTGAAATACATCTAACAGAAGGGAGAGCTGGAAGTAGACACTGAGATTCCTTCCGTCTCCCATCTGATGCCCTAACAATCCTTTTTGCAATACTCAGAAAATGTTGTAAGTTACTGTTGCTAAAAATTTTCAATCTAGAGAAATAGGCCCTTTCATTTAGATTAGTTTGGCAGCCCAGCGTTAACAGTGCTTTCCAAACCTGGTTCACTATCACCACGGGAAATCTGTATTTGTTTACGAATAATCATGCTACCCAGGGTGTAGCTACTACATGAAGATGATTCATTTGTTCCCAAGACCAGTTTCCTCTTGCTTCACACTTTCTCCCCTTCTATTCAAATATGTTGCTGAAAGAGACTGCCTTTATCATCACTATCACTTCCTGATCATAGTAGTCTACTATAAATCATTTCATCTCTAATTTCATTCCATCACTCAACTCTTCCTACCCAGTTTGCTCTCTGCTCCTGAAGTAGCTCTCCTCTGTTTTCCCCTCCTCTACTATAAACCTTTTTCGTTTCAATCTTTCACCTGCTGTCAATTGATTTGGTTACCTACTCTCAGTTTTGCATTGATTTCCACAACTACACAGTGACTCTAAAACACCCTTTTATTCCTAATCTGGTAGACCTTTCCATTTTCATTTTTATGCCATACACATCCCATAGAAAGCCAGTATGCTAAGAATAGTTTCTTCACGTGAGTTTAAGGTATAGCAGCATCCCAATAAAAATTTTCTTTGCTTTTAAATTTTATTCTGAAAAATTAAGGCCACCTGGCCTGCTCAGAGAGTCATGCAACTCTTGATCTCAGTGTCCTGAGTTCCAGCCTCATGCTGAGTGTAGACATTACTAACAAAAAATAATAAATAAACTTAAAAAATCAAGGTTTTTACTTGTCAATTAATTATACATCGATAAAACTGGGGGGGAAATGAGGCCAAAGAGATACCCATTTTCTTGCTTTGTGAATGGCAAGAAATTAAGGAGTTATCCTTAATTCTGGATAGTCACTGAGTCTGATAAATTATACTTCTTGCTGTTACTGAAATTTCTCTCCTCTCCAACTCTACTATACCACTCACTGCTGGTCTAGGGTATATATATGTTCAGTAAATTATATGTGCAATGAACAAAAAGGAGGAGGAAAGAGGAATGAATGAATATTTATGTGTGAGTAGATACTATATAAAAGTTTAAAAGAAGGGACGCCTGGGTGGCTCAGTGATTGAGCATCCTTTGGCTCAGGTCGTGATCCTGGGGTCCTGGGATCGGGTCCCACACGGGGCTCCCCATGGGGAGCCTGCTTCTCCCTCTGCCTGTGTCACTGCCTCTCTGTGTCTGTCATGAATAAATAAATAAAATTCTTAATAAAAAAAGAAGTTTAAAAGAAGGCACAAGGAGTGTCTGGGGGGCTCCATGGTTGAGCCTCTGCCTTTGGCTCAGGTTGTGACCCCGGGGTCCTGGAATCCAGTCCCGCATCGGGAACCCTGCATGGAGCCTGCTTCTCCTTCTGCCTATGTCTCTGCCTCTCTCTCTGTGTCTCTCACGAATAAATAAAATCTTTAAAAAAAATAAAAGAAGGCACAAAACCTCTTTCATGTTCCAAATAATCCTTGTGCTTCCCAAATTTATAAGCACTTATCAATACACTGTCAATCTCTGTTTACTTATATGTCTCTCCTATCAGATTTTGAGTCCCAGGCTCAGTGTTTGGTCATCTCTGTGTCCACACAACCAGTCTCAGAGTACAGCTCAGAGAATGTTAAACTGATCTCGGCTGGCTTAGCCTGATGTGCATCAAGCTAGTGCATTCCACCCATTCAGTGACTTTTTAGGTCATTCTCTTTAACTTTCAGGGCCCACCATAGAGAAAGACTCCCCTTCAACAGATGATTGCCCTGCAGCTCCGAACTGCCCCCAGCCTGCTGCTGCCAGCTGCAGTCCTCCACACCCCTCTGTAATCACCAACCACAGCCAGGAGTGAAACCCAGAATTCACAGTGCTACCGAACAAGCAAGCCCTAGACCAGACTTAAAAAGGAAATTGTTAGGTCCCTTGAATCATTTACAAAAGAACAAAGCAAATCCCATTTTAGGAATCAAACAAAAGTAGGTAATTAAATATGTGAATAAAGATATATGCAAAAAGATCTTTATTATGTGCATTGCTGTAGGTTTATAACAAAAATATAAGGAAAACTATAAAGGAATTAAATGAATTACAGTACACAAATATTATTAATAATTGTGTTTTTAAAGAATTTTAAATGACATTGAAAACTGCTCATGATTCACTATCAAATTTAAAACAGTGTTAAGGGGCACCTGGGCTGCTCAGCTCATTATCCTGGGGTCCTGGGATAGTCCCCAGGGAGATTGCTTCCTTCCCTCTCTCTCTCAAATAAAATCTCTTTAAAAAAAGAAAAGAAAAGCAAGGTTAAGTAAAAGAGTATTGTATGATCCCAATTAAGTTTTTATATATTTATTTAGAAGGAAATAGTTCAAAATGTTATGTTTATGGGATTTTTAAACTTCTTTTAAAATATAATTTTGGGGCACCTGGCTGACTCAGTTGGTAGAGCATGCAACTCTTGATCAGCAGGTCATGAGTTCAAGCCTCATGTTGAGTGTAGAGATTACTTTAGAAAAAAAATTTTTAGGGATCCCTGGGTGGCGCAGTGGTTTGGTGCCTGCCTTTGGCCCAGGGTGCGATCCTGGAGACCTGGGATCGAATCCCACGTCAGGCTCCCGGTGCATGGAGCCTGCTTCTCCCTCTGCCTGTGTCTCTGCCTCTCTCTCTCTCTTTCTGTGTGTGACTATCATGAATAAATAAAATCTTTAAAAAAAAATTTTTAGACCCTAAAAAGAGAAAGTTAAAAAAAAAATAATTTCAAAAAAATCATTTCAGATGTAAAGAAAAGTTGCAAAAATACTACAAAAATCCCATATATCTCTCACCTATATCTAACCACATTTGCTTTATTCTCATTTACTGACTTGTGTGTGCACTTGCTGTCATTCTTCCTCCTTCTAGAGATGGATACACTTATAGATGTATAAACAAACTGTTATAATTATGTTCTGGCCCATTTATCCCTAAATATTTTTCAGTGCATTTCCTCAAAACAGAGTACAAATATCACAATACAGTTCGCAAAATCAGAAGATTAACACTGATACCATACTATGATCTAATTTATGACCTTATTCAATTTTGCCAATTGTCCCACTAACATTCCTTATACAAAAAATAATTGTTTTTTTCTGGTCCAGGATTGAGTGCAGGATCACACATAATAGTTGTTAAATCTCTAATCTTCTTTAATTTGGAACAGTTTCTCAGTCTTTGTGTTTTATAACCTTGACACTTTTAAAGAATATAGGTCATTTATTTTGTAAAAATACCCCTCAATTTGAGTTTGTCTGATATTTTTTTCTTGATTAGATTCAAGTTATGTATTTTTGGAGGGAATACTACAGAATTGATGTTGTGTCTTCCTTAGTGCCTCAGGAGACATGGGATACTGTGTGTCCCATCACTGGTGATAACAACTTTGTTCACTTGGTTAATTAAGGTGTTATCTGTCAGGTTTATCCAGCGTTAAGTAACTAGTTTGCTTTTTGTAATTAATAAATATCTTGTAGGGAGTCATCTGAGACTACATTCAAGTTTTAACATTTATTGATAATGCTTGTTTGAAACAGTTGTGACTATAATTGTTGCCAAATGGTAATTTTATAATTCCATCATTAACATTCCTTATACATTTTTTGTCTTCTTACTGTGTAGGAGAGCATCTTGCTTCTCCTTCATTTATTCATTTATCAATTTATTGATTTATATCAAAATGAGCTGGGAGCTTATCATTTTTTAAACATTTCCCTTACTTTGTAGCACCACGTCCCAGGATTACTTTGTGCTTTCCCAGCCTCTAGAATCACCCATTTCCTTTCATAACCCTAGTTCCATTTAGTGGAGAATGATGTTTAAAAATCAAGATCTAGGTAGTAGGTGTGTTCATTGTCACTATGGTACCATTGCTTCTAAGCTCCCTAAGGGAATAAAGCTAGAAAACATACACACACACACACACACACACACACACACGCTGCTCACTTACTTGAACATCATTTTTACTTTACAGAACAACAGATAAACTATCATTTTTCAGATGTGGAAATTTGGCAGACATTTTCTAGAAAACAAAATGGATATGCTTGTCACTTCAAGGAAGTGTTTGTTGCCAAAGATAAAATTCAAGTTTTCAAGTAAAAATTAGAATTTTGGAAAATGTATTCACCACCATGAGCTCAGCAGCTTCCCAAACTTTTTTGAAGATGTGAGTGGTGATATGAACAAATGTTGTGGAGTGTTTTTTTTGAAAATTATTGTATAGTGAAGTGTGTTAACATTTGGAAGGCGTGCATAACTCTGAGCTAGTGTTTTTTTCAAATGACCAATGCGAGATGTGTTGGCAGCTTAGTCAGTTAAGGATCTGCCTTCAGCTCAAGTCATGATCCCAGGGTCCTGGGATTGTGCCCTTCATTGGGCTCCCTGCTCAGAAGGGAGCCTGCTTCCCCCTTTCTCTCTGAACCTCCCCTGCTCCTCTCTCTTCTCTCTCTAATAAATAAATAAAATCTTTTTTAAAATGACCAATGCATGATGTTATAAAAACATACATGGGTAAAATATCCCCTTAAAGTCTAATATAGACCAAAGGATTTTAATGGAATATAGTACAAAAAGTTCATTGATAATAGTTTCAGATTCCATGTTGCAGTTAACCTTTAAGAAATTGCCGCATTCAGGACACCTGGGTGGCTCAGTGGTTGAGTGTCTGCCTTTGGCTTGGTCGTGATCCCAGGGTCCTGAAATTGAGTCCTGCATCAAGCCCCCCGCAGGGAGCCTGCTTCTCCTTCTGCCTGTGTCTCTGGCTCTCTCTCTGTGTCTCTCATGAATAAATAAATAAAACCTTTTTAAAAATATATTAAAAAATAAAACATTCCTCACTTTCCTAACTACAAAACAGATTTTCCTCATATATCTCAATTAAAACAACATATCCCAACAGATTGAATGGAGAAGCAGATATGATAACCCCGCTATCTTCTAGTGGATTAACTGTAAAGGGATTTGCAAAAATGCAAATAATGCCACTCTTCTTACTATGTTTTTGTTTTAGAATATATAGTTATTTTTTATTAAAATGAGTTATTTTTGTTAACATATGATGAGTTCACTATTGTTATTTTAAATAAATAATTGTTTAAAATATTTTCTTAGCTTTAATTTCAAAGGTGATAAATACCAATAGATATAATCCACATAAACAAAAGAACTCCGGGGTCCTCAATAATTTATAAGAGAGTAAAGGGGGACCTGTGACCAAAATGTTTGAGAACCACTTCTATAGTTTATTCACCCATTCCCCTATTTGAGGGCATTTAGATTGTTTATAATATTTTGCATTACAATGTTGCAATGAATAATTTTATATATGCATGTTTTTCTAATGTAGATATATCTTTAGGGTAAATTTTTAGACGTGGGATATCTGGGATAAATACATATGTAGTTCTGTTAAATATTACCAAATTTCCCTTACTAAGGGTTGTACCTCACTGCTATCATTGCCTCTCTCCCCTACCAACACAGATATTTTCTGCCCAACCTGATACAATAAAAGATATAGCACTTTCAAGGCTATGTAGTGGAACAGCTTTGGAAAAAGACAGCCATGAATTCAAATCACGAGTAACTACAAGGTATGAATGGAAGGGCCTGTGTATTCATCAATGAGATGAGGCTAATGTGTATTATATATACAAAGAATTGAGTAGGTGTTCATTAAATGGTAATAATGTTATTATCTGAATCTCTCTGGACAACTAGGAAGGTAGTCACTTGACAAGCACAGATAATGGACTGTTCTGGGGTGCCTGGATGGCTTAGTTGGCAGGTATCTACTCTTGGTTTTGGCACAGGTCATGATCTTGGGGTCGTGGGATTGAGGTCAGTTTAGAGTCTGCTTGGGATTCTCTCTCTCCTTCTACCCCTCCCCCTGCAATAAATAAATAAATAAATAAATAAATTAATTAATTAATTAAAATCTTTTTTTTAAAAAAGAATAGACTATACTAATGAACTATAGAAGATGTTGACAGTAAAAGAATATAGAGTTGCCTTGGGAGGTACAAGAAAAGAACAGGTCACCTAAATCAGAAAAGAGGCTAAAAGCAGATGCTGAAACCTAGAGTACAAAGCCTGAGCAGTAACAGCAAAGAAGAGTTCATTAATTTAATCACTTGGTCAACTATTTACTGAACACTACTATTTACCAGGCACTATGTTCTGTGGTAAGCAAGGTACTGTCTCTGCCTAAGGAGTTTAGACTCTACTAGTAGAGGTAGATGAGAAAATAGGCAATTATGATTTTAGAGGGTAAGTACAGTGTACTGCAGAAAACAAATCAGAGACATCTGACTCAAATTTAGGTGTTGGGCAGGAGTTTTTAGGGGAAATGATACCTAAGCAGAGACCTGAAGAATGGCTGGGACTTAGCTACATAAATTGGGGAAGTGGGAAGGGAATAGTTAGGAAAAGAGCATATCCCAGGCAGCAGAAATAGAATGTGCAAAAACCTAGAGGCAAGAAAAAACGTGATGTGTCGGGAGAACCGAGAGGGCAATTTTGGTTGAGGCAGTGAGGGCAAGATTGGGAGCAGTGATACCCAAGGCAGGGGCCAAATCCGTAAGGCCTTATTCATGTCAGGAACTTTGGATTTTATCTTATGGGTGATCGAAGGCCATTAGAGCATTTAAGCTGGTCAGTGGCATTAAGGGTTTGATTTTAGAAAAAAGATCACTTTAACTGTTGTGTAGAAACTAGAGGACACTCATTTGGAGACAAGGAAGCCATTTGTAAGTGTCTATTGAAATAACCCAGGCAAAAGTGGTGGTGACCTGAGTTAGGGTAGTAGAGGGAAAATGGTGATTTCAGGAGGCAAAATCACCAAACTATGATTAGATTGGCATGTGAAAAAGAGGGAGAAGTCAAAGGAGACACTTGAATTTCTGGCTTGGGCAACTTGGTAATCAGTGCTATCCGAGAGAGAGACAGCAGGGGAAGAGGAGCAGACTTGAGGGGGAAAATGATGAGTGCTGTTTCAACATGTTGACAGAGTAGGAGACAGGTTCAGAGAGGTGAAGTTACTTATCTAAGGTGACTGTAATTGGCAGAGCTAAGATTCCAACCCAGGTCCATCTGACTACATATTTCCTCATTGCTTCAGCATGGCCGTGGGATGCTGGCCGTGGGATCCTCCCACACTCAGCGTGGGAATGTGCACCAGCTACCAGGCAGGGGAAAACCACCACGAGCATTATAATATAAGTGAAATGCCTTCATATATGTCAAATCTGACTGAATAACACAAGAGCGTATTTCCATAAGCATAAACATTATTAACACTGATCATGATGACTCACTGCCATCCTCTGGTCCCAGAAGGAAAATATTAGGATACACTTGATGCTGGGGAATGTTTATGATGTATTTTTCATACGAATTACAGATGAGGCAGCGTGGCATGTATGGTACAGTAGAAAGACCCTGGATACCTGGGTTCTAATGATGTAAGTATGGACTGGACTGGAGGAGGAAAGTTATATAGCATTTGACTCTCTGGGCCTTTCCTGAGGGTGTCCACTTCAGCAGGTCTCTTCTACCCACCAGCGCAGTCCATGCCACTGCCCAATGTATACAGAGATGGTACAGTGCAGTGGGAGGAGCTTGCACGTTGGAGTTAAGTGATAACGAGCTGCACCAATTTCAGGCTGTTTGAAGGAAGTCACTTTCTAAGTCTTATTTTTCTTATTTGTATGGTACACAACTATATGTGTTACCAACAAAGTGCCAGATACATGGTAAACACAGAGTTAATTATCTTTCCTTGCCTTTTCTTTTTAACCTCAAACACTGTTTTCTATCTCTATCTCTAAAGCTCTAGAAAAGAGTTAATGGCTTCTTTACACCATTCCTTAGTCTTTCCAATGTACATATATCCTCTCGTAATCAGAAAACCAAATAAACAAAAGATATTTGGGGGCACAGAGTAGACCAGCCCATTAGTTAGCATCCATTACAACCTGATGACCTACAGGTCTATTTTATTTGGGTATGCTATACTCCAATCATATGAGGGTATGCATATGAGGAAATAACTGAATTTATGTGTGCATTCTCATGTGAATATGAATCCACCTGAATTCTACAAGCACTGAGTTCTATGAACCAGACACTATAGGAATAGAGTTGAAAAGTTTTTCCTTTATTTTGAAAGTATTTATGTGTGTGTGTGTGTGTGTGTGTCTCAGTTTTGGCTGTGGGAAGAAAGGATTGGATTTATAGAACTGAGGAGCATGTAAGTTGCAAACAGTAATGGGCTGGGGCCAACTTGTATTGGATCATGAGAGCCAATTATTAAGTTTTGAGAAACTTTGCTAGCCAATTGTTACAGCAATTTGTAAAAGGCTAAATTATATAAAACTATAACTGAATACATTATATTAAAAACAGTTAAATACAAGCAGCCCTTGCTTTGCATAGGTCTGAAATTTGCGAATTTTACTTACCACAGTTTAGTTAAGTAACATCCCCTCAAAACACAACTCAGGTTTGTTTGTTTTTAAAAATTTATTTTTCAGTAATCTCTATACCCAACCTGGGGCTCGGACTCACAACCCCAAGATCAAGAGTTGCATTCTCCACTGAATGAGCCAGCCAGGGGCACTGAAGTTTCATTTATCATAGTATGTTAACTATAAGTAATTGCACAAAGTACAAATACTGCTGCTATTTCTTCAGTCCATGAATCATTATGTAAATAATAGATTCACATCATGTTCACTGACTAATCACATCACTTTTTTTTTTTTTTTGTAAGCTCTGCACCCAATGTGGGGCTTGAACTCACAACACAGAGATCAGGAGTCACATGCTCTACCCACTGAGCCAGCCAGGCCCCCCTCAATCACTTCTTTCAAAGTCTGTCAGTGATTGGTCATCTTTTTTTCAATTTTGACACAGACAATAAATTATATACTGTGTTGCTTCTTTTTCTACTAGTGATAAAAACCACATGACACTTTAAAGGAATGAATAATCAAACAAGGAGGTTGTCGGGGAGATCAAATGAAGCAAAGAAACAAAAAGTGATGGGCACCTGGCTGGCTCAGTCAGAGGAGTGTGAAATTCTTTATCTCAGTCTCATGAGTTCAAGCCCCAAATTGGGTGTAGAGATTACATAGATAAACTTTTTTAAAAAGAAAAAAGAAACAAAAAGGGATACAGCTGCAGGTGAAACTTTAATGTTAATGAAATTATAGAAGAAATCATTGAGTATGGGAATTGATATACCTTCCGTTTGAAAGACTCTAGATATACAGCCAGAGGAACTTAGTGAAGGCCAATTTATTGATATAAGTGAAGATAATGGTTGTGACCAAGAGAATGAAGATGTTTTTCACATTAAAATTATTGAACATACTTCATAATGTTGAAAGAGCAAGGAATAAAATGTTGAAAGCTGACCCAAACTTAGAAGTGGGAGCATGTTCCAAGCATGGAAAAGTTGGTCAGTCATATTGTAAATTATACAATAAGAAAGCAAGCACCATTCAAATTACTCTTAACAGTTTTTTACTAAGAAATAAAATGCTTTAACTCTCGGTGTTTTGAACATTTTATTTTATTTTTTTTAATTTATTTATTTATGACAGTCACAGAGAGAGAGAGAGAGAGGCAGAGACACAGGCAGAGGGAGAAGCAGGCTCCATGCACTGGGAGCCCGATGTGGGATTCGATCCCGGGTCTCCAGGATCGCGCCCTGGGCCAAAGACAGGCGCTAAACCACTGCGCGACCCAGGGATCCCTGAACATTTTAAATTATAGTGCACTATGCCTCTCAATGGGGAAAGAATTGTCTTTTTAACAAATGGTGCCAGGGCACTTGGTTATCTATATGCAAAATAATGAAATTGGACCCCTACCTCATATCATTAAAAAAATGAATTCAGGGATCCCTGGGTGGCGGAGCGGTTTGGCGCCTGCCTTTGGCCCAGGGCGCGATCCTGGAGACCCGGGATCGAATCCCACATCGGGCTCCCGGTGCATGGAGCCTGCTTCTCCCTCTGCCTGTGTCTCTGCCTGTCTCTCTCTCTCTGTATGTCTATCATAAATAAATAAAAAAAAAAAAGTTCTGAGAAAGAATCAGAACTTTAAAAAAAAAATGAATTCAAAGTGAATCAAAGACCTATATGTAAAAGCTAGAACTATAAAATTGTTAGAAGGAAACATTGATACAACTCTTTGTGACTGTGGATTAAGTGGTGATTTCTTAGATATGACATCAAAAGTTCTAACAACAAAGAAAAAAGGGACAAATTGGTCTTCATCAAATTTTAAAACTTTGTGAAATTGGCTATGGTGAGAATATTTATACCACAGAAATTGGCAAATGGCACGTCAGGGTTTGTTTTCTTAATTGTCTAGATTTTAATTTATTTTTATTTTTTAATATATTTATTTATTCATGAGAGACACAGAGAGAGAGGCAGAGACACAGGCAGAGACACAGGCAGAGGAAGAAGCGGGCTCCCTGCAGGGAGCCTGATGTGGGACTCGATCCCGGGTCTCCAGGATCACACCCTGAGCCGAAGGCAGGCGCCAAACCGCTGCGCCACCCAGGGATCCCGGAAACATAGCT